ACATAAGGCCATTTCTTTGCAGTTAGTATGGTGATACCTGAAGCTGTTCTAAGCTGTTGTGAAGAATAAACCTTCCTGTTGTGAAACTGACATCAGCTCAACGTGTGTCCCTTTTTCTATTCTTTATCACAGCGCCACACGTTGTTGAACAGGAAACCAGTTGCCCCTCTGGTCATCATCTTAGGGAGGCAACAACAGCATTTAGCATTTAACACACTAAACACTCTATGCAAGACCGTTGGTACCAGGAGCTTTCGATTTATCACTTTAAAATATGATTTTAATGAAAAGGTTATAGAGGAAAAGGGTTTGTCAAGAGAGTTCATGAAGATCATGGAAGAATCTGCAACAATGGAAAATGGACACTACTGACTGAAGTTACCTTTTAAAAAGGATAACATAAAGATGCCAAACAATTTCTTCATAGTGAAACAAAGATTGCAAAGTCTAAAACAAAAACTTCTCAACAATGAACAGTTGCATAAATAATATAAAAGCTTCATGGACGAGATGATAAGTAACGGATATGCAGAGCAAATGGCTTACAAAAATGGAAACAAGTGGTACATTTCTCATCGTCCCAGGAAGGATGTATAAGAATTGCATTTGACTGTGGGGCATCATTCCAGGGGACATCATTAAACAAGCAGCTCTCACAAGCTCATTGATGGGGTTTTGCTTAGATTTCGACAGGATCCAGTCGCATTTATGGGTGACATAAAGACAATAAAGGACATAACTGAGTTTCGCGTTCATCTGTTCGGTGCAGTATCTTCCCCGAGCTGTGCCAGTTTCGCTTTGAGAAAAACAGCTGAGGACAATCAAACTGAATTCCTAGACAAGGTATGTGAAGCAGTAAAAGAGAACTTCTATGTGGACGACTGTTTGAAGAGCGGGGCCTCCACCTCAGATGCTGTTGATTTGGTCAAAGATCTTTCAGCACTTTGTCAAAGGGGAGGATTTACACTGACCAAGTGGGTCAGTAACAATTGCACGCTGTTGCAAAGAAAATAATTAAATCTTGATAGAGACAAACTTCCTGTAGAAAGAGCTCTGGGCGTGTAGTGTGCGTGGAAACTGATAAATTCAACAATAAAACGGATGTTTGGGGATAACTGTGGCTCAGGTGGTAGAGCAGATCAGCTACTGATTGGAAGGTTGGTGGTTCAATCCTTGGCTTCCCCAGTCTGCATGTCAAATATCCTTGGGCAAGATATTAACTCCAAGTTGCCCTCTGATGCGTTCATTGGAGTATGAATGTGTGTGAATGCAGATTAGTTTGCACTTGTGTTTAGAAGTGCTTGTATGAATGGGTGAATGTGGCATGTTGTATAGAGCGCTATGAGTACTCCGAGAGGAGAAAAGCGCCGTATAAGAATCAGTCCATTTACCGTGTTCCTCAAAAATCTTGTACTAGATGTGGAATGTTGTCTATTTACGATCCATTGGAATTTCTTGTTCCAGTCCTGCTGCCTGCCAAAAGAATGCAGCAGGAGCTTTGCAAAAGGAAACTGGGATGGGATGAACCAATACCCCAAAACATGTTGCAAAAGTGGAAAAGTTGGCTCAGTGATTTGCAAATGCTTTCTCATTTCAAGGTTAAAAGGTGTATACAACCAAGAGAGTTCGGACCTCTCACACATGCACAGCTACACCATTTTTCAGATGCCGGTGAATCTGGATATCTGCGCATGCAAGACAGTAGGAAATCCATCCATGTAGCATTCTTGATGGGCAAGGCAAGGGTTACACCTCTAAAACCTGTCACTATTCCACATCTGGAACTAACAGCTGCTGTAGTTGCCGTCCGAGTGGATCTGATGTTAAGGACTCAGTTGAGAATGAAACTCAAGCAATCCGTATTTTGGACAGATAGTACATCTGTACTCAAATACATAATGAATGAGGATAAACGTTTACTTACCTTTGTGGCAAAAAGTCTTATTCATTGTGACTAAACGATCACAATGGGGATATGTAAGCTCAAAGGAAAATCCAGCAGATGATGCTACAAGAGGGCTGAAGGCTGGGAACATTGCTCATAGCAGCCGCTGGATCGAAGGACCAAGCTTTCTGCAGTAGCCAGAAAGTGATTGGCCGACCAGTCTAATGAATGCTCCTTAGAACCAGAGGACCCTGAAGTCAAAGGTGAGGCCACAGTGAATGTTACTCAAGTAAAAGACTTGCTTGATGCTACATGTCAATTGATGGTGTACTTCTCAGACTGGAGAAGGCTCAAGGTTGCTGTTGCTTGGTTCCTTAGACTGAAGGCAATCCTTCCTTCAATGAGAGATAAGAAAAGAAGACCGCAACATGACTCAAATAATCTAATTTGTAGAGGTACTACAAAGGAGAAAGTAAAGAAAACGCAACTGTATGGTCTATCCTCAAAGGATCTTCTGGAAGCGGCGCTTGCCGTTATCAGATTTTGCCAGCAACAAAGATTTGGAGAGGAGATTGCTACGTTGTCAAGTGGGAAAGGTTCTGTGAGCAGGCACAGCTCAATTTATAGATTAGACCCTTATCTTGATGATGAAGGCCTCTTAAGAGTTGGGGGACGACTGACAAAGGGCTCCTTACCAGAAGAAATGAAGCATCCCTTTGTTCTTGCAAAGGATCAACATGTAGCAAGTCTCATCCTAAAGCACATTCATCAACAGCTTGGTCATAGCGGTCGTAACCACACCTTATCCACACTAAGGAGAAAATACTGGATCACAAAGGCCAACTCGGCTGTAAGGAAGGTTATCGCAGAATGTAATTTTTGCAGAAAATATCCTGGAAAGATGGCAGATTTACCCAAGGAAAGAATTTTGCCAGATAACCCACCACTCACCAACGTCAGTGAAGTGAAAAGAGGACGAGGTACAGCTAAACGTTATGGAGTCATTTTCACCTGTTTAGCCAGCTGAGCGGTGCACTTGGAAGTGGCTAGCTCTCCAAGCACAGATGCCTGCATAATGCTTTGCGCCGTTTTGTGAGTTGGAGAGGTCAAGTCGCTCACATCCAATCGGACAATGGAACCAATTTTGTTGGAGCAGACAGAGTTAAGAGAGGCTCTTAAATCGCTGAAACATACCCAAATTGAAGCTGTTTGGAGTTTTAATCCACCTGGAGCATCACAACATGGTGGAATTTGGGAATGGATAATCCGTATGGTCAGAAAGATTCTGAGATCCGTTCTTCAGCAACAACAGTTGGACGGCGATGGATTAAATACAGTTCAGTGTGAAACTGAAGCAATTTTAAATGACAGACCCATCACAAAACTTTCTGATGATCCAAAAGCCCCAGAGCCGCTTACACCAAATCACATCCTCCTGATTTGACCCTCAGGATATGTATCTGAAGAGAAGATGGAAACAGGCTCAGTACTTCTCAGATCTTTGGAAATGATGGCTACGTGAATAGTCGCCTTGGTTACAGGAGAGACAAAAATGGAACCAAAAGAAGAAGAGTCTAAAACCTGGAGATATAGTCATTATAATGGATTCCTCTGCACCACGTGGTTCCTGGCCACTTGGGAGAGTTCTGGAAACCATTCGTGACAAAAATGGACTTGTACGATCTGTACGTTTAAAAACAAAGACTAACGTTCTTGAAAGACCTGTAACTAAACGCCTTGATACATTTTCAATCATCCAGGTAAGTAAATCTCCAAAAGCTGATTCTGTTCATCTGGACGAGGCGTTTTGTGGGACAAACGTTTCGTCATCATCAGGTGACGTCTTCAGTCTCAGCTGACTGCAGGTTTCAATCTTATAAACAGCACATTTGCATAATGACTGAAACCAGCCCACTGAAGGAACGATGGGCTGGGAGGTTAGTTCCTTAATCGTAATTATGCAAATTCTCATGACCAGCAAGTCACCTGGATGAGTGACGAAACGTTTCTCCCACAAAACGCTACGTCCAGATGAACAGAATCAACTTTTGGAGACCTGTAACTAAACTTTGCCTGTTACATGAGACTGTAGTGTAAAAGTGTATTTAAATGCTCTGTTTACTTGTGTTTATTTATTTGTGTTTATCTTCAGCTCTGCCACCAGCAGCTCATTGTAACGTGCTGTCATGACACGGCTACCTGTCATCTTCCTTTCACGGCTGCTCTTCATTCTGTCCCAGATCACTCTGCTGTGTACAGCGCTCAGTTATCTAAGCTCTAAGTTATATGCCAAAGAGCGACATTTGGAATTTTACATGAATGCAGCTACAGTAACCTCTGTCATGCATCAAGACTAACCTGTCACACTGGGACTCCTGTGGTCCACCAGTAAGAAAGAGACAATCAGTGACTCACGTTCACGTATGTGGACAGCTTCCTCGTCCACTCACTGTGTGAGAAGCACTTTGCAGGCCTGGTGAGAAGCAGAGAGAACACAGATTAATGCACTTTGTATAGTTTATCAGTTTCCACACAGCTTTCCCTCTTCTGTTCAGCTAATGCAGAAGCATGGAGAAGCCTGCACACTGGGTCAGGTTGAAGCTCCCAGTACACAAACCCACTCATGTTTCTGTGGATTTTCCCCAAATAGAGACACAGTTGTTGGGGAGGAAAAAGGATTTATTCAGCCGGTCAGATATTGTACCTACCCTAACAGCGTGTGCACACTCACACACCGTTGTATGCCTGAGGACTTTGTGTGTGTGTTTGTGCTTTCGGAGAGCTCATCTGTGCACCAGGTGCTGCCTTTGGGACTCCAGCATGTTCTTTTCCTTCTTTCTTTGTCTCTTTGTATGAAACATGTACAGTACACAACAACACACACTGTTACACATGGTCTGACTGGTGGACTCTGTGGTAAGCTGAGCTTACACTTCTGTGTTTCACACATGCACTCACAGACCACACTACGAAAAGAATCATTGTTATTTATGCTGCCGCGGTTCTGGCTCAGCTTGACCCAGTATTTTGAGTCGCTATGTTTTGGTGTGTTTTTGCCTTTTGGATTCTTTCCTTATTATGATGCTGATGATTATGAATCTTTGTTTCAGTTCTTCTTGTTCAGGGATTAGTTCGTAGGTTTTGTGTTCTCATGTTTATTGCAGGTTTAGTTCAGTGTCTAGTCTGTCTCTGTGTCGTGTCTGCGTCTTTGTTTAGTGCTGTCTTGTTTCCTGTTTTACTCTGAAGGTTCATGTTCCTGTCTTATGTCAGTGTTTCTAGCTGTGTTCCCCTTCTGTCTCTAATTCCTTGATGACTTGATGACTTCCTCGGTGTATTTTAGCCCAGTGTGTCTTCGTGTCAGTGTCGCGTCGTCTGTTCATGCACCCTGTTATTTCTAGCTGCACGTCATGATTCTAGTCTGCAAGATTCGGTATTGGACATGTTCATAGTCACTTTCTCCAGTCATGTTTGCCTGCACCTTCATGTGCCAGCACCGAGATCTCGTTCACAGTTTCTCATGTCGTGTTCATAGTCTGTCCGCAGTACTTCGTCATAGTTCAGTCCTGGTCTTTGTTCATAGCCTTAGTTACTCCCAGTTTAGGTTTTTATTTTTCCCATAGTTTGTGGTTTGTTATTTTGCCTTCTGTGTCAGCCCTGATTAAAGGCTCGCTTTGAGCTTAGCACAAGTTTTGCCTCCTGCGTCTGTGTCCGCACCTGGATCCACCAAACACTCTCCACACGGTCTGCCCTCGCGGGCCATGACAGTATGCATTAGTGATTGTGTCGCCTTCTGTTCCTTTTATAT